CACACACACACACACACACACACACACACACACACACACACACACACACACACACACACACACACACACACAGAGCAGCAGCAGGGGGTCACCTGTGTGTGGAGGCTGTTGAGGTCGTCTTGCGTCATGGCGGGCTCGTCGAGAATGCGGCGTGCCTCCTTGCATGCCTTCTCCTTCTCCTCAATCGCCTGATGTGTCATGATACCCAAGAGCGAAAGGAAGATGAGTACATGGTCACGCTCGCTGTTCAACCAACGCGCACACATCATGCACACCACTGCCACGAAATACTCACATGCACGACGGCACCCGCTTGCACACAATCACCACCGATCACACTCACCACCAATCACCACCACCATCAATCAATCATCAACCACCATCACCACCACGATAAACTGACCGCCGGGAGCTTCTCGTGTGCGAGGTATCGCTTCATCTTGACTTCATCCTCCGTTCGTTTGATGACGGCATCGGCCCCGCCGCTCACGGCATTCGCCCGCACCTCGCGCAGCAGCTGCATTGTCCGCTGGTACTTGTCCTCAGCATGCGACAGCTGAAACAGGCGGCAGTTTGGGTTATTGGGGAGAGGTGAGGGGTTGTTGGGTGGTTGGAGGAGTGGTGGGTGGTGAGGGGGTGGGTGTACATGCACATGGCCGAGGAGAAGTCATACCGACACACACAGACACACACACAGACACACGCACACACACGCACACACACGCACGCACACACACACACACACACACACACACACACACACACACACACACACACACACACGGACAGACAGACGCAGACACCCCTCCAATAATCGAGTATGGTGGTGGTGGTGGTGGGATTGGCACCTGTTCTGTCTGGTCCTGCCTCAGGCGCTCGAGTTCGCCCTCGCGTTCAACTTCGCGGCGGAGGGCGCGAGCAGCGTCAAGCATCGAGTTGTACTCAGCAACGTTCTCATACTGCGATTGTGTGTGTGGGGGGGGGGGGCGGTGTTAAGGGTGGCGTGGAAAGGATGTCAGTGAGGGGTGTGATGCGACGCGGTGGTAGCGAGCAAGCAAGACATGAAAATGCAAGCCCACCCAGACACAGACACCGAGACACCCAGACACAAACACAGACACAAACACAGACACAAACACAGACACACACAGACACACACAGACACACACAGACACACACACACACACACACACACACACACACACACACACACACACACACACACAAAGACACACGCTGCACCTTTTGCTGCATGCGGGCGACGCGCTTCTCAAGTTGGTCCTTCTCCTTCTCCATGTGTTTGATGTCGTTCTTCACTTCGCTCACGGAAAACCCAGACGAGCGCATGTTTTCGACTTCCTTGTGGACCTCCTTGAACGTGTCAATCAGCGCAAGGTACTGCACACACGCATGACGGTGGTATTGGGAGAGATGAGGAAAGGTCAGTGGATGGGCGAAATAGTGCAAACAGGACGTGAGCCGCTTGACAGGCACATGATGGTTCACGCACACACAGACGCAGACACAGACACACGCAGACAGACAGACACACGTACAGGCAGACAGACAGACACACGTACAGGCAGACGGACAGACAGGCAGACAGACAGGCAGGCAGACAGACAGACAGACACACACACATACACACACCTGTTCGCGGGTCTCGGCGACTTCGTCGTTCTGCATCATTTCGTCGGGGACCTCGATGGTCATGAGAAAGTTGGCGAGATACGCGCGCTTCTTTAGCTCAGGCAGTTTGCTCAGGGCCCAGTGCATGATCGGGTGAATCACCTCGGGCTTGGCGTCAATCAGCCCAGCGGCCATGTCCCTTGGATTGGTATGCGGTGCAGATGTGAAATGGCACGGAGTCAGAGGTGGAGCTTTCGCTTGCTCAACAGCAGACATACAGGCAGACGGACGGACGGACGGACAGACGGACACATGGAGATACATACACACGCACCCATACACGCAGACACAGACACAGACGCACACACATGCAGGGCCACATTTTGACTTACGACTTTGAGACGGATGGCTTGTACTTGAGCACGCGCAGTAGGCTCATCATGCGCACCACCCGGTCATCGGGCAGCTCTTGCCTCGTGTCGACGTCATGCTGTCACAGACGCAACACGATCAGCGGAGACACAGAGAGACAAAGTGGCGTGAGACCTCAAAGACAGCGTCAATGCTGAGTGCACGCACATGTGCGTGCGTGCGTGTGTGTGTGTGTGCGCGTGTGTAAAAGTGTATTAGTGCGTGTATGCATTTGTGTGTATGTGGTGTGCGGGTACTTGTTGTATGTGCAGTGCGTCCTTACGTCTGGAGCGATGGCGACGAAGATGGAGTTGAGGGTTTCGATGAGCTGCTCCGGGGACATGGCATCGAAGCTAAGCGAATAGCAACACAAGGCGAACAGGTCATGTCAAAGTTAGGCACAACAGCAGAGCACATACACACATGCAGGGGCGAAAACAGGTGGGTGCGCACGAAACAA